TTTGTTGAGGAAGTTCCCATTGGAAGCGGTATCAAGCAGCATCCTTATCTTGGGAAGGACGCCTCTGTAGAGTGTGCTGAGAAGAGAAGCTTTTCCAAAGACATGATGAGGGCATTTGGTCTGATAACCTTTGAAGTGTTCCCATGCTTCACAGAAGGTTTCAGCATTCTTCTGAGTGAATCTGGATATCTCATTCCGGAGTCTTGCTGTTCTGGGAGAAGAATTTAGCCAAGAAGGCTTTTTTGCAGTCATCCCAGGTCGTGATTGAACCCTGGGGTAGCGTCTTTTCCCACATATGGGCTTTGTCTCCAAGTGAGAATGGAAACAAGCGAAGCTTGAAACCATCTTCACTTACTCCATTGATTTTAGTAAGGCCACAGAGCCTTTCAAACTCGTCAAGATGATCAAGCGGATCCTCCATTGGCAAGCCGTGAAACTTGTTCCCCTGAACCATTGCAATGAGACCGCTCTTGATCTCAAAGTTGTTGTTCTGGACTGGTGGAGGAACAATTCCATGACGCTGGTTGTGATTGTGTGGGAAGTCACCAGCACCAATGTTGTTGGGTTGGTCTTGGTCATCTACAATGTCAGCCATTGTGTATGTTGCTGTCTGTTCTCTTAGTTGGCGAGCGATACGGTCGATGTTATCGTTGAAAAGGAGATTCTGATTTCCTCTTGACCGTGTATGCATATAACAGGTAACAGCAAGGCTTTAGCAGACCATTCAGAGATGAGTCTGTAAAGCTGGTTGCTATGAGTACCTGAAACACAGACAGAAAAACACAATGTCAGTATCTTGTGTAACAAAAACGAACTTGATCTTAACGATTCTAATGATCTCAAATATAGCAAACAAACACTAAACTGGCAACGGCACCAAATTGATAATAGGTTTTCAAGATCAATTAATCCTAAAACACTATCGTGTCGTTGTAGTATTTTAGGTTGTCAATCCAATCTAGTGTGATGCAAACAGATGAGATATGATCAGAATTTATTAAGTCAAGCCAAGCAGAGAATTGCGGTTTTCAAACAGTCCTAATGCGAAATAACAGAAATGAAATGAAACTGGAATGCAAACTAGCAATAGCAGGCAGTAGAATAACAAAGCAGGTAAGATAACAGGCAATCAAATGGATGAGAGATTCCTAAGGACAGGGTAATCGAATAGCGTGGTCTCCTTAATCTATTTAGACGGTTGACAAAACTTCACAGAAGCTATCCCTTGACAACAAGTTCAAAAGCAAATCAATTCACCACCGTGATAGAAATTCTCAAGCATAGCTAGACACAGACCTAATCACCATTAGCGATCTCTAACTAAGCAGGCAATATCGAATCAACTTGTTAAAGCCAATATCCGCTCTAAACGGCCAATACCTTGGGATAGAGACGAGTATCTCTGGAATTAGTGGATCAGACATTCCATCAAACACTTTTTGGGTGCGGGAATGTCTAGATTCATTTTCCAGTTGATCAGAAAGGAGCAAGCAATAAGCGCAACTAATCCAGAAGGGATTCAAACAATCTAAACTCAACCATCTAAAGCGACTAAGGCAACCACGACTACTCTATCCCATCCTCAGAAACACAATTCACTACTCAGACATAATCAAAAACAATAGCAATGAAACGATTGAAAACATGATAACAGGAAATGATAAAGACTGAAACGAAAACTGAATTATAAAATACTTGAAAGCGAATACAAAGTCGCAGGAAGAACACACTGCGGCTACGAAAACAAGTCTAGGTAAAAACTGAAAATAAAGACTGGATGCCCTATGGAAAACCCTTAGAGGCTGCTTATATAAGCGAGAAAAGTTAAATAAGGAAAGTTCGAGATAGTGGTCTTCACATCGAGACCCTGCGATCGAGCATCTAATGGGCTGAAATGGGCCTCCCTGTGATCGAGTGAAACTGATCAAACTGGGCTTCGGGAACTCCGTCTTACGATCGAGTGGTCTGTAGTGAAGATGAGATGGAATGGTCCAGCGACCCTGCGATCGAGTGGTGCGATCGAGTAGATGACGTGAGGTGGTGATCGAGTAGTTTCTTCAGCTTCTCTTCTCTTCTGTATGCTCAGCTTGTCTGGTTGAGTGAAGAATGAGTAGATGGGCTTCTGATGACAAGGTGGTGATCGAGTGGAACTAAGCTGCTGGCTTCTCCATGGTTGTGATCGAGTGATATGTCCTCCATGATAGCTTCTGCTCGATCTTGCGATCGAGTGGTTTCTTCTGAAATTGCTCCGGGTTTTGATCGAGTGGTTTTGCCCTTCATGACAGTTTCTGGGGTTGCGATCGAGTGCTTTGCTCTGTCAGGGCTCCGAGGTTGCGATCAAGTGCTTTTGCTGAAGGAGTGATTGAGCGTTCTGAATTTCTGTTCTGTTTCTCCTCTGTTTGAACTCCAAAAGCATCCAAAGTACCTGAAAACAACCCAATATGCAATGCACATGCAATTCTAATGCAAAACCGTCCTAAGTATGCAAAACACACTAAAACGACTACTGATGAGATGAAATGTGATTGAAAAAATGACAAAGTGATGAAGAATGAATGCTTAAATCATGCAAATTATAGACATATCACCTGCAATTTACCCTATTTTTTTACTAGATGATGAAGATAACTTTTATGTTGTAAATATATTTAAATTGTAACTTAATTATTTTTGGAAAAATATAAATGCATAAGTATATAAGTAAAAATGTGATAACACATGTCATTGAGTGTATATTTATAGCGTAACTATTGAATATTTTATAGACCAACTATTTTAAGATAATGAAACTAATAGAATTTAATCATAAATTAGATAAAAATAAATAAATTAAACAAAAATTTTAAAACAAAACTAGTAATATAAACTAAAACAATTCGTAGTATCTTTGTAAAAATGTGTTGTAGATTGTGGTTGTGTTTGTAATTTTACTTTTTAGTGGGTGATTGGTTCGTCTGTAACTGTAGATTTATTGATGTAGAATTTTTGCTGTATGTGTGATGACTGTAGCTGTAAGTTTAATGCTGTAGAAATTAGCTTGTAGGTTTTATTAATATAATACTATTATTTAAATAAATTGGTTGTAGAAATAAGATTTTGGTTGTATTATTTTTAAACAAAAAATATGATTGGTAAATAATACTTATGTGTTATATAATATTGTTCACAAATATATTAAAAAAAACAAAAACAATGTGAGTTATATATATTTTTTGCCCAAAAAAAAGTTATATATATGTCATAAAGTATATGTTTACCTACTATTTATATCCATAAAATAAATTTTCATAATATATTTATGGACGAAAACTATAATAATGCTTTTAAAGAAAAAAAGAAAATAAAGTGGAAAGAAGAACAAAAAAGGTACAGCCCTTCTAAAGACCAAAAAGTTGTGCTTTAGAAAAACTTGTACTTACAGCCAAAATAATTAAAAAGATATTGTTTGGACTGTGAGAAATAGGAAAGCTAAAGCATGATTGTTTTAATTTTGGGGCTGTAGCTTTTTTAGTGACTTTATAAATCTCTTACAGCCCAACCAATCATGCCCTAAAAACACTAAAATATAAATAAATGTAGGATTAACGGAAAATTTTCTGATGGCATATCATATGTGATCAAGTACATAACAACGGTTTTATTCAAACATAATTCTTTTTAATATATAGTAGATAAATTTTTATTTGGTGGTTTTATTTAATTTTCAAATTTTTTATTTTGGTTTGTTTTCATAAGTCTTAAAAAATTACATTATAGTGTTGCATGTAATCTATAATGTTTTGAAATTTTTTCCTTATAATATATATATATATATATATATATATATATATATATATATATATATATATACTTGATTAGGATCCGTCCGATGGAAGAGTTTTTTATTTTTAAATTTAAATTTAAATCTAAAAAATATTTAATAAAAAATGTAGAAGTTTAAACATCAATTATATATTGAGAAAAAAATAGTATAGTTTATGTACATGTAATATAGCGATGTTCCCATGGAAATTTTGTACATTTGGAAAGCAATGAATGATAAAATTTATGAAAATATTGATTTAAATCAATTGGAGGTCCTGCGTTTAGCAGAGAATGAGGCACATGTGTGGTAGTTAGCACAAATTGAGCTTAACACGGAAAATCAGTGTTCTTCGGAAATAGATAATTGTATTCGGGGAGTAGCTGTTTCAAATGTGTCAATCAATTCCAGTTTTCGATACTACGTAGATGGTTCGTGGAAAGGGACAGGCGCAGGGTGGTATGGTTCGTCAGCTACGGGATAGACGACAACAATGGGAGCCGCCAACTTCCGAAGGAGCCTAACTCCACTACATACCAAAGTGGAAGCATTTGTCTGGGCAATGAGGTGCATGATTAGTGCCGACAACGAAGACGTATCGTTTTTTACAGACTGCTCTGATTTGGTGAAGATGATGTCATCTCCGACTAAATGGCCAGCTTTCTCAGCGTACCTGGAGGAGATTCATATCGACAAGGAATAATTTTCTAATTTTCTAATTTCTCTTTATTTTTAGAATCTAGTAGTGAAAATGTTAAAGCAGATAATTTAGCACAAATAGTTTGTATCGAACCGCATCATATTACATATGTAAACAACATTCCACATGAATGACTTTATCGAGCACTATTAATTTAAGTTGTTGACAAAAAAAAAAAAATATATATATATATATATATATATAGCGATGTTTTTCTCACACATGTCAATTTTCGGCGAATAAATCGTGAAGTGATCATCACCATAAAATCTGATGGTCGCAATTCAAACCCATGTAATCGAATTTTGTTTCTAAGATAGAAACTGACAGAAAATAAATTATTATAAATAAATTAGATGCTTACATGATATATTAAATTTATCTTTTTGTAACATGATAGATTAATTAATTTAAAGATAAGAAACCCGACACATTTACGGATTTTTTAAGTTTCATTTATTACATAGAAACCCGAAAAATCCATCGCAGAAGCGGTTATCAGGAGGCGTGTAGAATTTCATATCAGCAAATTTGTTTTGGTTGCAGAACTTTTTGCAAGCATTCTCACATAAAGGAAGAGTTGCCTTTTTAGAAACTTTCATACACTGATTTGGGACACAATGCTTAACACACATTTCTACCGTACTCGCACATGTTGAAACCATCATCGTAAATAAAACTACAATCATCAAAACACTGTATATCTTTTTCATTGTGTGAGTCGCCATTATTTGAAAATATGAGTTTATGAGTGTTTGAGCTAATTAAAATTTTGTTTAGATTATATAGGAAAAAAAGAATTATTAAGATAATTAGTGTTGAGTTGGCTTTATGTAGTTTTGTTCTTTATATAGCAAAAGTATTTTTATCCTCTTAAAATTGTTGATTTTGGAAGTATATCCTTTTGTTTTCTTTTTTTGGTTATAACTTATAACCAAACGGTTATTTTTGTTATATTTTCTTCTTAATTAAAAAGTTAGTTTTTTGTTTATGTTATTGGCTGTCCAAACAATCTCGTAATGTTAAATTGTCATTCACCAAAAGGTTTGCCAAATATTCACCATTATCAATAATATTGTCAATTTTTTTAAAATCTTAATTCAAAAACTATCCCCTAAAACATGATTATAAACTATACATTTTTCGTATTGATGGGTCGAAATATTTAACCATTTAACTTATAAACCAAAATAAATTTACAGGTTGATTTGATCTATTTAAATTTGATAGATTCATGGTTTACCTAAATAATTTAGATAATCTATCATGTAACACTCAACTAATTAAGATAATAGATGGGTACCCATAATAGATTTGATTGGGGTATACTCAATTTAGAAACGCGTGAAAAAATAATTGAACACAAAATAATATAAATTATATAAATTTAAAATTTTATCGAAAATCAAATAATAATATTTAACTAATTATAGAAAAAATGGAAAGTAACTTCAAAAATTTTCTATTCAGTTTTTGTTTTACAATATTTTATTTGGTGTTCAAAAAATTATTTTTTTAGCTAATAATATTTAACTAATTGTAGAAAAAAAAATTACAATTTTTTTGTCACGCTCTAGTGAGAATGTTAAGACTTTATGTAATAACATTATCAAATTTTGTATATTTTTTTCCAATACAATAAAGATTTTTTACTTCTTTTTTTTTAATATATTAACAACAACAAAATTAATAGAATGAGGTTAATAGTTTAATATATTAACACTTTTTATATAATAAGAAATTTTTATTTATTTTTGAATATATTAACAAAAACAAATTTTAATAGAATTAGGTTAATAGTTTAATATATTAATTAAAAAGTAGAACATGCAAACAATTTTTTCCTTACTTATTATATAATTTCCCTTTTTCGTTAGGATTAAGAACTTTTTTTTTTGATGATGTTAAATTTATAGATCAAAATGAAAAGTTATATACAGAGACCAAAAAAAAGAAGCTAAAACCATACAAGAAAAGTTATCGAATTCCCCTAGCTTGAAACCATCTTTGGAGAAGGTTTCTCAGACCTAGAGAGTCTTGGTAACGTAATAACACCGCTCGCTGTCGAGGTTAAGAACTTTTCTATTTCTATTTTAAATATATTAACAAATTAAAATTTGATACGTGATAACATCTTATGTTTTACTTGACACGTGTCACGATCACGTGAGTTAACAACTTTGAAAACTCAACTTTATATAATACGAAATTACGATAATTTTTGTTATGTGGATAATAAATTATGTGTTAATTTAAAATTTTAAAAGTTAGATATAGTTTTAGTTCGTATACTTTTGTTTTTGAGGAGAGGGAGTAATAGTTATATAGACTATAGAGATGCATTGTCTCTTGACTCTTGTTAACAATAAAACGCCACGTGGCAGCATAATTAAAATCTGTTTGCACAAAAATGTGGTTGGCCTTAGCCTTGGCCCTGGAATAAAAACATTATCCAGAAAATCTAACATTTCCACCAATCCTTCACTTCCTTTCACGATCCCAAACCAACACAAGAAAATGCAACAAAATCTTCTCCATCTCTGAACTCAAAAACTCATTCTCTAAAAAAAAAATGGAGACCCTTCTCTCCCCTCGTGCTCTCTCTCCTCCTCTCAACTCCAAACCCACTTCCACTCACCAGACCAAACCCACTTCACATTCCTTGTCTCTCTCAAAACCCACAACCTTCTCCGGTCCTAAACACCTCTCCACCCGGTTCACTAAACCGGAATCAAGAAACTGGTTAACAGATGCAAAGCAAGGACTAGCTGCTTTAGCTTTATCTCTAACTCTCAGTTTCTCACCTATTGGCACTGCTTTAGCTTCTGAGTTCAATATCCTCAACGATGGTCCACCAAAAGACACTTACGTAGTCGACGATGCTGGTGTTCTAAGTCGAGTGACGAAGTCAGATCTTAAGAAGCTTTTGTCTGATCTTGAATACAGAAAGAAACTGAGACTCAATTTCATTACTGTCCGAAAGCTCACTGTGAGTTTTCTAGATTTTCTTATAAAATTGAATTTTCTTTTGTTAAACCGGAAGTTGAACCGGAACCGGTTTGGTTTAATTTGGCAGAGTAAAGCAGATGCGTTTGAGTATGCAGACCAAGTTTTGGAGAAATGGTACCCTTCAATTGAAGAAGGTAACAATAAAGGTATTGTTGTTTTGATCACAAGTCAGAAGGAAGGAGCTATTACTGGTGGTCCTGCTTTTATTGAAGCTGTTGGTGAAAACATTCTTGATGCTACCGTCTCCGAAAATCTTCCCGGTATGGTCTATTGGTTTGGTTTAGTATATATAGTGTACTTTTCGAATTTTGATGCAGCATCTAGTGCACAAGACAAACAAAACTAGAGGTCTGGTTTTGATCAGAATTTTTCGGTTTATAAATAATAGTAACCAAAGTAGAACCTATTCTAGTGTCCATGGTCTGGTGGAATGGTTTTGGTTTTGGTTTGGTTTCGGTTTTGAATCAGATTTATCTATAATTTTCAAGTAGAAGTTTGGGATTGGCTTTCCATTTTCTCTTTGCTTTGGTTTGGTTTGGTTTGGTCTTAGTTTTTTTTTTTGTCTTTTGCATACAGAGAAAATGGAGCCATCTAATTTTAACATTTTCTTTTATATATCCAATCTTTATTTTGCATATTAAGTTGAAACCATCTTTTTTTAACAAAATTAGTTTCCAAAACATTAAAATTTTAAGAGACCAACATAATTTTTCAGCAGTAATGTTAGAAATCAACTATGTTAAGTTTTGAGTTGGGATTGATTAGTTTTTGAATGTATGATGGTGCAGTACTAGCAACGGACGAAAAATACAATGAGGCGGTATATAGCAGTGCAAAACGGTTGGTTGCAGCTATAGACGGTCTACCAGATCCCGGTGGTCCAACAGTAAAGGATAGCAAGAGAGAATCAAATTTCAAGACGAAACAAGAAACCGACGAGAAGAGAGGACAATTCAGTCTTGTCGTTGGAGGATTACTTGTAATTGCCTTTGTAGTTCCCATGGCACAGTACTTTGCTTATGTCTCCAGGAAGTAAGTAAACTCGGTTCACTCTCGTAAACCAAACCGATCAGGTCAGAACTTTGTTTTACCTCGGTTATTTGGTTATGGTTTCTTGGTAAATTGGTTTATTTGAGCAATATAAGTAAATACATTAGTAACAGAAAACTAAAGAATGAATGTAACAGCATTGTTTAAAATTTTAAGCTTAGAAAAAATGGCATTTGATCTGAAAACGGTGGATCGGAATACTTCCCGGTTAAGATTTGAGATGAGACGAACTGGTTTGCGGCTTCGGTATAGTGAATTCCATCCCAGTTTATGTACTCGGAACTGTCGTTGCAAGCTTTGGCAGTTACTGATATCCCATCTAAGACTTTAGTTTGCCCACAAGTAATGCGGCTATCGTAATTTAATGGCGCCCCTCTGACTCCACAACACGCCATTAATGGTTTTTCGAAGCCTAAAACAATCGAAAATGTTTTAGAACTAACCTCCTCAAGACAGTCAAGATTGATAAGTATTAAGTTGTTTGGAAATTCAGATTAAATATTGAAATGCTTACCAAATCGGGAATAATTAGCGATGAGATTAGATTTAATAGAGAAGATATCAACGTAAGTAACACTTGAATCAGGGAATTGGGCTTGAAATTTGTTGGACAGAGCATGTAGTTGAAGATTGAAGAGTTTGGCTGCTTGGTTATGGGAACTAACACAACCAAACTCATCAAGCTTTGTTGAATCTGTCCCAAACTTGGCAATATTTTGAGCCAAACATCCTAAAGGCCCTGTGTTGTGTATCCAAAAGTTTCTGCCTCCTTCCTCATAAAGCCTCTGCCAAATTAATTTACTCTGATTGCATGAGACCGGTCTGGTTTATTACCCGTTGCGAAAACAAAAACGAGAAACAGTGATTTACCTTGAGTCCAGCTTCAAAAGTTTCAAGAATGGAAGGAATCGAAGCAAGAACTTGGTCAAGAGTCTTGGAGTAGAAGGCACCAGCTAAATCATTTTGGCCTATGTCAATCATGTATAGTCCTTCTGAGTAATAATCAAGTGGTGGTAAGTACTTATCATATTTTCTTCCTGAAAAATCATCATCAAACAAATCTTTGCTTCATTTTTACTTCATATAATATTATACGCAATTAAATCTCACCAACAAAGTTCGAAATTAGTCCCACCTGTTTTAGAAAGTAGTTCAAGGGCCCTAGATTTGAACCGGATGAATTGAGAGATTTGAAGATCAAAAGAGAAAGGAGAGACCGAGGTCGGGTTTGCGGGAAGAATGGTAGACCCTGCTGCTGCAAAGTTACACCCTTTTTTGAAATTTGGTAGACCTAATGAATCCAAATAAGGATTTAAAAATGGCAGGTCCATTTCATCCACTGCACAAAACAAAACACATATCAAAAACATTGCTTTGAAGTGAAGGAACAATTTCAATGAAGAACAACATGAGTTTGTATACATAGAAAATCTACAATAAGACGGCCATCGCAATATCTTCCTGAAGGAAGGTTGAAGTAAGTCTGGCCATAGGGAGGATTAACACTTTCAATCCCTGAGGAGATGAGATTGCCCGTGTCGGAATTCGAGTCTCCAAAGTTGATGATTGCCGGATATTTTAGGATTATGGAGAAAGATGAGGGAAAGAACAAGGAGATTAATATGAAGAGAACAATGGAGAGATTGTTTACAATTGGAGCCATTGTGTTGGAAACAAACAATAGAGCCAATCTCAGATTGTTTATTTACTCGCAAAAATTAGTATCAAACTGAAAAAGCAAAATATAAAGTGTGTACAACCACCATGACAAACTTTCATAAAATATTTAATCTAAAAAATGGCTTATATATATAAAGAAAATTGATTATGTATCAAATGGAGACCACTCTGAGATTGTATTTTTGGTCACTGAGATAAACTTAATAAAACAATCTTAATTTATAAATATATAGTATTAATATTATTAGTATACTATTAAATCAGTTGATATATAATTACCTTAATACCACATACCTATCAAATAATTTTACTGTAAGATTGCACTTCTACAATATAAGAATTCATTTAATAGAACCATAAACAAACTAAGTAATATGATTAATTTTATTTTCTTAAACATGTATACAAACTAAGTAATCGGATTAATAATTTGTTTCTCGATTACGAATACTTTTGTAATGGTTTGTACTAATAAATCGCATTTTTGTATATTTAGAACACAAATTTTAAATTGGACAGACATATATGAGACTCAAAAATGCATGAAATAAGGTTGCTTCGAGAATGCTCCGAGGTTGCTTCGTGAGGAATATTTTACCGAGATAAAATGTTTTATTTATAGGGATGATCAGTTTGGTACCGAACAAAGAAAATTGGACACGGTCATTTTGGAATCCGTTGGTGTCCTTGCGTTTTCAACATTTTTTTGGCTAATGAGAGTTTGATTTCTTTTTGTTTTCATGTAATCGTGTTGGGGATTGCAATTTTTATGATAAAATCATGACAATTTTTTTTTTTTTTTTAATATATATCAATTAGACAAATATATATATATCAAACATGCTAATTATAAACCAATAACAAAAAATACCAAACAGAAAGAGAAATACTTTTGTGTTTATTATTTGCAAATGTTTTTAGGGAAGAACTAGATATTATCTTTGAACTAACAAAAAATCGATTTTGAAATAATCTAGGATATATATGTTCTATTCTATATAGCTTTCATTATTAAGTAAACTCAACATGCATGTATCTATCGATTATAAAGGTAATTGTTTCAATAGATTGTAGATGAATAAAATAGTAAATGGACATTATTAGTGTAAGAAGAGACAGTAAAAAATGTGGAAGATTATAATCAAGGAAGCATATAAATTGAAGCGAAAAAAAAATTACTTAGAAAATCTATAACAAGACGTCCATCGCAGAATCTTTGGGATGAAGTTTTGAAGGAATTTTGTCCGTTCGGAAGGTCAAGACGAATGCCAAGGCCAGCAACGAGATCACCGGTATCAGAATTGGAATCTCCGAAATTAAAAGCAGACGGATAATCGAAATCAATGGAGTTTGAATTCTGAATATACATGATAAAATATAGGATGACATAAAAGATTTTCATCTTAGTTATATTCATGAGCTCTCTATTTGTTGTTTTAAATTGGCATTTGAGATTTATAGTTTCTATTTGTCGATGTCTTTTTAAATGTGTTGATGCTTTGAATTGTGGAAAGAGGAAAACACTATACAAGCAAAATTGTTGCTTTGAATCTCGCTTGCAAGTCTTACTATATCTGTCTATATTAATATGATGACTCACACGTACGAACTCATTTGATTGTTAAGTAAATTACCAAAGTTTTCTTAAAATGATTTCTTACCCTTATACATTAACCATTTATTTCCAAGCTATGGATGATTTGCTTGAGTGAGAAATTTTTTCTTGATAAATGTACATATGCAAAATCTTGAAAGCATAGGAAAAGACAAAGTCTATCTTCCGCTAAAGGTATACCCTCTATTATTAAGGCTATCAATTAGGAGGAGAATGAAAGAAGAGATTATTAGATCTCATGCTCTACACTATCCAAAAACTTACACATTGTGCCACATTGCGGAAAGTCTTTTAGAGTGTGCCATAACATCAACGTAAAATGTCCCTTTTGCCCTCATCCCTGGTTCCAAAGCACACTGTCGAAATAGTCAGCGGAATAGACATAAAGTGTCCACATCATTTATTCTTTATTTTCCCTCTACAGTTACTGTATTTTATTTTATTTTTAAATTAAAAATCTAAAAACCCTCCATTTCTACAAACCGCGAAAATCACAAAACCCTCCATCTTCATCAGTCTTTTCTCCGAAAACTCTCTCTTTTTTTTTAGGGCTGCTGTCTCCGAAAATTCTCTCTTTTTCTTAGGGTTTTTGGCAAATCTCAGACGAAAATTCTCTCTTTTTCTTAGGGTTTCATGGCTTTTGATCCATTTGCCTTCCCGAGAGTCTCCTCTGTAAATGAAGCGTCTCTCTCACCGGAAGTCTCAGATCTGATATCGTGTTACTGTTCAGATCCCTTCGTCAATGGCGTCTGGGTTGATGGCATGTTCTTCTAATTCCGGTGCAAACGAAGCGGCAGAAACCGGTGGCGGAGCCTCCTTGTAAGTGTTTGTTTTCATTTCTTTTTCGGTTTTGTAATTTCTCAGTGGACCAAATTGTGATGGACATGCAGAAATTTATGGAAATTTCTGATGTCTACCAATTTCTGAATCCAATTTCTTGTCTACAGGAAGGAACACAATGAGCAGAATTGCGCCCCACCCTCGGAGCCGTTGGCAATGGATCCACCAGATATAGTCGGCAATGGATCCTAAATGATGATAGACATTAAACTTGAATTGGAAGACGTTATATCAAATTAATAAGGGACTGTATTTAACAGTTTGTCCACCAAGAGAACTGACCTCAACGGGATTGTCCTCCTGTGATGCATCTTCTGTGGACAAGGTCATCATCTGGTCCACTAGGCCTCCACCATGTCCATCTTCGTTGGATTCCCTTTCTGAAGGGGTTCCCTACAAAATAATGGACAAGCTTAATTTAGAAAAAGTAAAAATAAAATTAATGTAAGTGTCTATCCTATTCTAGTAATTCCGGTTAAAGTAACAATGGACAGAATAGGAAAACTTGTCTACACATCATCAGAAACACTTGTCTACTGTCCAAGAGAAGCCACAGATATATAACCTGTATCACCTGCTGTCCATTGTCTTTCTTTGGAACAGATAAGCTTCCCTCCAGCTGTTGCTCACATTGAGTCTGTAGAGTAGCGAATTAAAAATAAAAAATGGAACTTTTATTAATTTTCGTATATCCTAACTGATGGTAGACATATATTAAATACAGATAGACATTTATTAAATACAGGTAGACATTATATGTAATGTATGTAAGATGTCCACTAAGATATTGTCCACAGAAAACTAACCATACTGATATTGTCCACAGATAAAGCGGTATGATTGTCCTCTGTAGTAGGATTGGTGGGAACACTGACGGAATTAACAGTTTCCTGATATCCAAAATTGCTCTGCATGAATGAAAAATTTAACATTTTAAAGCTTTCTGCAACTTCACAATCAATGTTTAATTTCAACAATTGTAAAGCTATAAACTTGCCTCATCATTAGCATAGTCGCCAGTATCTGATGATGTGCATTCATTGTCGCCTGAGGTGCCATCTTTTTGGGAACTTCCACCATCTGAATCATTGGTCTTTGATGGACCCCCTGAAGTAAATACAAAATTAGCAACGATTGTTAAGAGCATGTAAGGAAAGTTTTGATGGTACCTGAACACCAACGGCGGGATTATTGGAAACATTGTTTATGTTGTTGAGAATGTTGGGGAGACCTACGAGGGTATTTTCGTCATTATATAGATGCCATACACCCTAAATGTGGCACATTTTGTAAGCCCAATAAGAAAGTGGCGTGGACCCAAATAATTTCATGAAATGTGGCACATTGAACAAAAATCCCATGAAAGAATGTTACGATGCTTATGATTTCCATGTGATTGGGTTGTGGAATAGGAATTGTAATAAAAGAAAAAGTGGAAAGTTGAAAGAAAAGAGAACACTATGGAAATAAAAGCAACATGGTTCTAAGTTGATAAATATAAAAAAAGGAAGAAGAAGAGGGGTGTGCGAATAGAAGAGAAATGGTTTGGTAACTAATAATTATAATTATCTTGTTAAATGCGAATGAGTGCATTTGGATTTTTGGGAAAGATGATATTTTGGTTTTTACACCTTTTCTAGTACTGTTTGTTTTCATTTATTTATATTTTCGGTTATTCTTATTTAACTGTTAAACGAGTTTTTTAAAAATGGTTAGTAACACTTGAAACCGCAATCGTTCGCTTCCGCAAACGTTTGTAGCCGCAACCGTATTATAACGCATTTAAACCAGTCAAGCTTTTAATTTTTTTTTCTCTCTCTAGTCAAACCTTTAGTATACATTAAATTGCAGGGTGATACATCTATATATACATTTTTGCAACACTTTATGAAATAAATCTTCAAGTTGCAACTTATTTACAAAGAATGTCATTGGCATTAATTATTATCAATTAATTAAGATTCTTAATTAATAGCATTTCTTTATCTAATATATTTCCATCAATTCTAATTACTTAAGAAAAGGAGAAATCTTAGGACATTATTAATATTATACTTTATTGAAAAATAAATATTATAGTTATTTAAAGTTTATTAAACGTTTAGAATATTTAACGGAAAAAATTATATATATATATAATGTGTGAAATCTATAAAAATTAAATAATCATTTGAAAGAAATCTTTAAATTGATTTGAATTATAAATGTTTTAATAAAAGTATTATTCAAACAAAAAATAATGTTTAATTCCACCGAATATGATTAGATGGTATGACGGATTTATAATATTATAATATATAAAATTTACAACAATTAAATAACCATTTGAAAGAAAACTTTTAAATTGATATGAATTATATATCTTTTAAATTAAAGTATTATTAAAAAAATGTTTAATTTCACTGAACGGGGTTAGATGATAGGACGGGTTTGGGTCGATAGTAATACGAGACGGTATACCACGGGTGAAATCCATTAGATATGTTTAATTTCACTGAACGGTATTAGATGGTAGGACATGTTTGGGTCGATAGTAATACGAGACGGTATACTACGGGTGAAATCCTAGATATAACAATCAAAATACAATTATACTATCTTAAACACTAAACAAAACAAACAATTTTAACAAAATAAATAGAATTAAAATTTAAATTATATAGTTATAATCTAGATTTTAACTTAATGAACTGTATGTTATTGTTTCTATATTTTTAAACAGTAAAAATTAAACATAGTAATTTTACACTAAAAATATATAGATATAAGAATTGTACATTTAAAAAATACAAAAAATTAAATCATATATATTTTTAATCTACTAAACAAATTAAATTTTTATTTAAAAAAATATAGTCCCGCGGTGTACCGCGGGTTATAATCTAGTCATATATATTAGTTAATGGTTTTTTTTTGATAACCCAGTGTCCAAACCACACTGTGATCCGACTAGCCCACTGGGCCTAAGCCCGCGTGCCTGGGATTTTTAAGCCTCCACTTAAGGGCCTCCTGGGACTGGTGGTCTGGGACTGGTGGTCTGGGACGCTGAGCCCCGCAGGTAAATTGCGCAGTGGCCGGGACTCGAAGCCGGGTGGCGAGTGCCTTAGCCGAGGTTCCTTTACCACCAGGAGACAAGCACCCGGTTTATATTAGTTAATGTTGGAACATATTTTGATTAGTTGCATTGGATTACTTTTTTGGGCAACTTACATAATTGAAGTTCATTTGAATGAAAAATGAGTGTTAAAAGTTGGTTACTTAAAAAGCACAATTTGGACAAATGGAAAAAGTTCCACATTGGAAACATGGAGAAGTCCTCTAGTATATAAGGGAGGATGGTTGTGTCAAGGCTCAAAACCTTGAGACAAAAGTATGTTGTAAAGGAGAGAAAACATATCCATACTCGAGCTTGCATTTGGATAAATGGGCTTGAAGCTTAATAGCTTATCTTTTTAAACCCATACTTTTTTGTAATTCATGGTTGATTTGAACAACACAACAAACAAATATCTCTTCCTTTCAGCATTAAAACCAATGGATTAATAGCCATAAATCGGGCATTGAATCCACGTCTCCATGAATACTCATTTTAGCAAAGCGATTTTGCTTTTGCAAATAAAAGGTAGAAGAAAAGAGTTTCTTCTTACACACTTACAATCTCATTCTCATAGACAACAAGAAAAAAAATTGCATTCATGTCTCTTCTTTCTGTTTTCTCTGAGTCTTGAGAGTACACACATAACTAGCGTTCGTTAGGCTTCTAATTTTGGGTGTTACAAATCAGAAAATGGTGCGGTTATATCCTGGAATTTTGATTGCATCAAACCGCTACACTACACACAATTAAAGAATTAAGAAAGAGTGTCTCGTCTCTGCACAAACTGTTCTTTGTTTCAATTTATTAAATATTAGTATCGTTTATTGTATCTTAATTCTAGCTTTTATCACCATTTATTGCAATTATTCGGTTTTGCCACATCGTAGAAATCGCGGTCCTACAATTAAGGGAATCTTGTTGAAAATGACATTTTTTGGAAAAACTTTCGAAAAGGCCATTTTTACTAAACTCCTACGGAAATACCATTTTTAACACTTAAGAATGTACATATTTACGATTTTGTTTTGTAAGAATATATACCTTATACTAAATATTAAACCCGAAGAACAAATGGAACTAACTAAACTCAAACATAATGGGTAAAACGTATGTTAAATCATATTTTTGTTGCCTAAAAAATAAAATATACAAACTATTCAAAAAATGGCATAATCAACAAATACCACTCTAAAAATGGCAAAATCCGTAATTGATTCTACAATTAATTACAACATAGCCTTGATCTCAGACATGCACTGTTATTTATTTGAGCGTTTTTATAATTTTGTACTGAATTTAGTTATTCTGACATAAAAAAACATACAATTCCAAAAGAGTTAAGAAGATATATAAAGGTGGTTTCGTCGGATCCATGGCCCATTGAAAAACATAGATTCCTGGTTTTGTAAAGTTTATTACAAACTATTTTCATCGGACCTCACAGTGACAATTATTGGTGAGACAGATTAGATGGGTCGAGAATGACTTTACTCGATTTATGTTTAAAATGTGTCTACACAAACTATATTTTTTAATAAAGTTTGTTTTCCACGAATATTAACCAAATCCAACAACCAATTATCTCCAGCTGTTACCATTTACTTTTGTCAACAACTTCAATAAAAATGGACCGTCCAATTTAACTATAATGTATGGAAAGTGCAATGGATAAATGGTACACCATATTAAAATTAACTTCTGGACAGACAAATTAAGAAATTTAAATTCAATTATATAAATTCGTAACAAAATATCCCAAAACGGAGATCACACTAACATTGACTCCGCCAAACCGGTCTGAGTGAACCGGATCACACTAACATTAACGTTACTTTTGACAATCATCATGAATACGGAGGATTTCATGCACTGCGGTAGATATATCAGCCACTGAGTTAAGCTTACAATAATCTTCCATCTGCATTAATTTTTTTTTTTAATATAAAAGGTTAGATTGTTGACAAAAAAAATTAAACTTAAAAGTATATTTTGTTAGACTTTCTATATTTTTTTTAATTACCATTTACCACCATATCTTAAGATTCAAAACCTGATAATTTTTTTTAATATACTTTAAGTTTGTGGTATTGTTTATAACATAACGAAAATGGTATTGTTTAAAGTGCTTTTCAAATCTCATCGCTGTCGGAGTCTACAAATAGTAAGTAATTTTGGCGACGTGTGTTTGTCAATGCATAAAATGGTTATTCTTCCAATATGTTTTGTTCTTATATATATGCATAGAACATTTTGGGAATTGAGTAAATTGCTTTTGGCTATGTCTTGTTCCCACGATAAATATAGTTCATTGTTTAGTCCTTAATGCTATACTTTATTCATATGGTATTACATTTCTAAATTATACTACGCCGGTTCAAATTTTTGAACCGTCTAAGTTTATTTTATTTTTGACAATAAAAGTTTAACGTGTGAATAATATCTATTGTAATAAATTGAAGGAAACGTTAAAACATGCATGGAAGCCTAATAGATAATTAAAATAGTACATATAGATGTTAAAATAACATTTTGGGTGGAGAATGGAGATATCATTAATTATCATATTCAGTTTTTGTATTAATGACTAAATTAACAAAACTTCTATTGACTGACTATAAGGATTGCATGTGAATGATATATCAAAATATCTCGGTTTTTGCCTGAAGGATCCAGAATTGACATGTTAATTATCCTCATAATCAAACCTATATTTGAAACTAAGGATTATTATAATGATCTATAGGGGATAATAACATTTTAAAACTAATAAGACAATAGGCGACAAGAGAAAAACAATCAGGTTAAGGCTAGGCCTAGCATTTTATTTACAATTAACTTACACAGAGATCTATAATTTTGGGTTTGGGTATAAATCTATTTTGGTTTTGGTTACAGCTATTTTTAGAATATTCTTTACTATAACGTTGTAAAATCACGGGTAAATATATAGTGATTTTGGGATTAAACAGAAACGTACCTTAGTGGAGAAGCAGTAGAGGATAAAGTCAGAAACAGTGGAGACATTAAGGTGAAGAATGATAAACCCTAAGCTTTGTAATCCAGAGACCAAGTTGAGAAGAATCTTTGGTCCCCTTCTTGATCTGATCTTGAGACTTGCGTGGCACTCGACAAGGCTTACTTCAATATCAGCCAGTGCATTGTTGAGAACCACGTTTTCACTGACCGCAGAGGAACCAATTGAGATCTGGGGAAGCTTGAAAGCGTCGGAGAAAGGTGTGGCGGATGAGATATCACGGCATGATAAAGAATTTTTGTTTTGTTCCCTATTGGCGTTAAGGAGGTGAAGACGGTGTTCTAGTTCTCTGATGAAGTTTATGGAACCTCCTACTATTGATGCTTGGTCACACTAAAACCATGAAGAAAAAAAAAAACACTAAAACTCATAATTACGAGAGAATTATGCATGAAGTCTTACAATATTTTAAAAATTGATGTAAATGAATATAGTTGTCTTACAATTAGAATTAATTCACTACAACATTTTTTTTTTTTTAAAGTATTCACTACAACTTTTCTAATGCATATACTACTTATGATACCTAGCCGTCTTGGGATATCAAAAAGAAAGAAAACATTATCGCTGTCAACAAAAAGAAATCAACAAAACACTTTGTTGAACGTAACTTTTAGTATTCATTACTAAGAATATATAATTTTCAATATATATAAAGCAAGTTTTTCACTAGGCATTAATTTTTTAAAATTTCGAAAGATGTAAATTAGTTCTGTATGTTTACTTATAAAGTTAATAAAAACATTGAATTTGATGATTTTTTCTGTTAGTCTCTATAAAAAATATATAGATGCGCTAGATAATTATGATTGTAGATTAGAAGAATACCCTTTGGACGTATGAGTTAGGCATGAGAGAGCGGAGAACAGAGAGATACTCATTCATCAGTTTTCTCCGGCTACGCTCCACTGCAATGTGAGTCATACGTTGACTATTGATTTCTTCTTTGTTTTTCTTCACCCTTGTTCTGCGTCTTGTTGCCTTCTTCTTCCGCGTAGTGTTTATCTCACTATCCCGGTGGTAACTCATATCGCAGTTCGGGCTACCAGAGGAGTTTCGGTTAGCCGTAATATTTGCTTCACTAATAGCAATTTCAGGAAGAGGTTGATGAAGGAATGTAGTATTATTCTCATAGTAGTCTTCCTGAAGAAAACTGGAGTTGTAGTTTTCGGTTTGGCTATCGAGAAAACCAAGAGAGGCTTGGAGATCATAAAAGTGTGGTTCATCTTCTGTGTAAATGTTGGAGTAAGCTTCTTTACCATTATAGCTAAAGATGTTGTCGTGTTGCAAAAACACACCCTCTAGAGCCATTAGCCTTCTTACTTTTATAAATCTTTGATAGTAATAGATATAAACAAGAAAAGTGTTAAAGTATGGTAATAAACATTGGGAATTTTAGAATGAAAGTGTGAAAGAAATGACAAGTATGAGATGATTGATACTCAACGCGGTATTAATATATAAAGGAAGAAGCGAGTTCTACAGGTTTGTTGCACGTGAAAAGCATAGTTTGGGAGTTTGCTCCAAGGGAGATGTATTTCTCGTTTCAGGTTGTTGGACTACTAACAGGGTAAATAGCTATAAGCTAATAATGGGCAACAGGTGGGGAATTAAGTTTGTACGATTCTTACGCTTTTGTTTTGTTTCGAATGATTTGGTGGACTTGAGTGTCTACTATCTCGGCTGGTTCAATAGAATTATGACCATCCCTTTATGCAATTGTCTTATTGAAGAAATGAGACAATGCTTGGCGATTCTGAGTTTTTCTTTTCATATTCTATGTTCTGCTTTATATATCTAAACTGTGTTCAACACAAACGGTTTAAATTAATCGACTATGTGAAAAAGTAACCAATCAGAATATAAATTGATTGTTCCAAAAATAATCGTTGGAGAATGAAAATTAATACGACAAATAAAAATCAACTTTATTAATAAATCAATATAAAATGATATAAGTTTGCCAAAAATAAAATAAATTGATAGTTCAATGTCCTCAAATCAATATTAAGTAGAGATATAGTTAATTTAAACATATTCTTAAACTTATAAGCCCAAAATTTATATGTATATATTTTATTAAAATTTGAAATAGGCCTCCAGTTTATATACATATTTTAAATTTTCTTAGAGAATTTTTTTTTTGAATCGAGTCCATGTTCAAGTTAAAGTAACTCAAACACTATTAGCTTTCTATAAAGAAATACTCTATTTATTGATGTTTAGAAACTCTCTCAAAACTAAACAATCAAAAACTCTTATTAATGTTCTTGATATAATTATCACACCTCAACAATTATATATGGGCTATATTAATTGATATGCATGGAGGATTGCAAAATTAAAAATCTATCCATACTTATTTTTTTATAAGTTCTCTTTCCTCTGATTCAATTAATACCAAAACTACCCTTTGTTAGAATTAAATGCTAACAAAAATAATAACAAGATAAATAATTTAGTGTTAACAGTAAAAATAACATTGTTCATTTGTTATCGGAAACACTATCTATCATCGGAATCAATAAGGAAACAATGATTTTTGTAGTTATCTATTTGATTAACAATGTAAATCAAATTGTATCGCGATAAATAAAAACTAAAACACTGTTCGGCCAACATCAAAAACACTATTCATCACGAGATAAAATAAAAAGATAATGATTTTGCTGATTATTTATTTGATTAACAATATAAATCAGATTGTATCGCGATAACTTTTCAAGTTATATGATAAATTTATATTTATCATGTTAAATTATTTATTATCTGATTGATATCAATTAACTTATATATTGACATGTTTATTTATTTCAACAATTTATTTATTACCGTTAACTTATGCATTAGCATCGTTAACTTATGCATTAGCATATTTATTTATCGTTATAACTTGTTTTTTCACGGTTAACTTATGTGTTATCGTGGACGTAAAAAACAATAAAATTTCATTCTTCTCGGATATCCTCCTCTGTCGTCATTCTTCCAAATTTTTTTCTTCTTTCATTGTCACCTGCAACTCCAACCCATGTTCACCTGCAAATTTCCTTTATCTTCGTCCTCTCCATCTTCACTTTAAATTACAAAACTATAATTTTCATCCCAAAATTCTTCAAATTAAAAGTTTAATCCATCTAAACTCATGTAAGTTCTCTCTATTTTTATGAATCGTTTGGTGATAATTGTGTGTTACATATAAAAACAATGAATTTTATTAACCAAATGGAGAATTGGATATAAAATCTGTTTGAAAAAAATGGAAGTGACGATGAAGAAAGAAGATGATTTAGAAAGAGAAGGATTTGGAAGAAAGACAAATAATCAAGTGTTTAGAAAAAGGGTAAAATGGTAAAAACATTATTCTCTCTCTTGCTCACTTGATTAATAAAAAAGCATGCATACAGACTTAATTCTTTGGTCTTCTGAGCATAGATACTGATATTTGCCTTATATTTATAGTGTTAGCACATCTTGCTAATCATATTAAAAATAGAATTAGATAACTCTTGATCCTTTTATTAATATATCAAGCCTATCTTAACCCAACTTGGTAAAGATATCTTGGCTTCAAGTTTAATGTTTAAGCTTATCCAACATTCTCCCACATAAGCTTCAACTTGACCTTGGACATGTCTTGAACTCATCAAGCTTCAGATCTCACTAAACTTGATCCTTGCCAAAGCTTTAGTTAAGATATCCGCCTTTTGCTCACTTCTGGGACGTGTTCCACATCAACAAGATCCTTCTCAATGCACTTTCGTATAAAATGATAACGCTTATGTATGTGTTTGCTTTTACCATGAAACACAAGGTTTTTGTTTAGTGCAACTGCAGACTTGTTGTCAATCTTGATAACTATTTGTTCGGGCTTCCATCATGTGATCTTGCTTAATATATCTTGAAGCCAAATGGCTTGTCTCGCTGTCTCTGTTGCTGCCATGAACTCAGCTTCACATGACGAAAGATCCACCATGTTCTATTTTTGTGAATACCAAGTAATTGGTGAGGATCCAAAGTAGAATATATGACCGATAGTGCTTCTTCCATCATCCATGATCATTATTTTGACTACTATCACTAAACCCAATGATCTTCTTTGATCCTCCTCGATTAAACTTCAAGCCAAATGTAATCGTTCCCTTGAGATATTGTAGTATGTGCTTCATTATTTCACTATGTGAGTTACGAGGGCTCTGCATATACCTACTAGCAACTCCAACAGAGAGTGCCAAGTCTGGTCGTGTGTGTAATTGTTGTTGGGTTGGACAAAAACACACTAAAGTGGGTGATGTAGTGTTTTTACCCAATTAAATATCGAACCTCAAGGAGCAATGAACCAACACACTAGGAATGCACACATTCACTTAATCTAAGCAAAATAGATGATTTTGGTTTTCTAAATTTGACCTAACAATGCAATTTAAACTAAACAATGCAAAACAAGACAAAAGAAATCAATATGCAAAAGACTAACAAGATTCAAAATCAAACAAGAGAGAAATAAGCAAAGCGGTTCAAGTCTATAAATAGAAAGCGAGTCTTCGGGTTTAGATTATTGATTCGAGTGATTAATAATCAATTCAAGATGCTCTATCAATCTAACAATGCTAATCCTTTAGTCTTAGAACACTAATGTAAACTAGTCCACTTCCATGGTACTAATTCTACACTAATCAAGCAATTAACATCAATTTCCATTGGCAATCACAAGACTAATATGCATTAATTTCAAGCCTAACTAACCACCTAGCACCCTAATCATCAATTTCCATTGGCTAGGAATGCTAAGCACTCAATAAGTTCTTTCGGGAATTTCATCGAACACCTTCCGGGCATGAAACTTCCTATGATCTAGACTAGCTTAATCAAAACTAATCTAGCACTAAGAACACCTAGAGAGTAAGGATCAATAAAGATTAAGTCCTAAACATCTTGAATCAATCAACAACACCCCTAATCTACTAAACCCAAAGGCTCAAAAGAGACTACTCACTAATCATAGTGAAAACACAAAGATCCATGTTGTTTCTTTGCATGATCTTAATGACAAAAGTAAATTAAGAAGAAATCCCAAAATAAACAAGACTAGATTGCATAAAAATACTTAAGATTCATACAAAATCTCAAAGGAGAAAAGAGAAATTCAAAACAAGCCTCCCCTCTTCTCTAAAACTAGGTTATGAGTATTTATATAAAAGGGGAAAACGAACCGGGTCAACCCGGAACAAACCGGGTTTTGACCTGGTTTAGAAAAGCAATCGACCAGGCAATCGACCACTTGGTCGATTCAAATCTTGTCCGTAGCTCTGATCCATATCAATCGACCGGGCAATCGACCAGTCAATCGACCAAGCAATCGACCAACTGGTCGACTGCTTCCTCGACTCCTTCTCGTCCGCGTGTCTGGTTTGGTCCCAATCGACCAGTCAATCGACCAGTCAATCGACCTACTGGTCAATTGCTTTCATCCTCCTCTTGATTCTTTGATTCTTCACTTCTTTCAACTCCATTTGCCTCCAAAACTCCATACTTCACTCCAAGAACCTAAAAATAAGAAATGCAATGCAAATATGCACCTAAGGACCTAAACATGAATGCAAAATGATGGAAAACTAAGAGAAACAAAGCTTAAAAAGGAGCAAAAACACAAGATATCAGTGGGCTTTAATGGGCCTGACGAAAATGACAAAAAAAAAGAAGAACAAGTGACATTGGCCCATCACATTGAGTTATATATATCCTAAGAAGCATGGAATCGCCGGTGGAGCTGCGTTTCTCGCTTCGGAAGCGGAAGCGGAAGCGGAAGCGCCTGGAATCGCTCGGAATCGTCTCCGAATCGCGATTCTCTAAATGTGCCGTTTGGAACCGCGGTGGAAGCGACGATTCGGAGTTGGAAGCGTGGTGGTGTAGATCGGAAGCGTGAACGGTGGCTACGATATTGAAATTCGATATTTCTTTTCACCGGAATCGGTGGTGAACGGTGAAAAACTCTCTAAAGGTTAATTGGGGAAGAAGAAAACTCTCCGTCTTTCTTTGGGGAAGAAGAAAACTCTCCGTCTTTCTTTGTACTTTCGCTTCACCTCTCTATTCTTCTTCTCTTCTCTGGTTCTATTTTCCGATTCAAGCAAAATTCATCAAGGTAAAATTACTCTTCTTCTTAAGCTGAGTTTTTTTTTTTTGGTCTCTTCCTTCTTCACTCTCGCACTTCTCTTCTTGAAGTCTCTCTTGCTCGATTCGATTTTACGGCCATTAAGGTTCTCGATCCGAGGGTTTTTGATTCAACTTTTATTGGGTTCAAAGTTTGTTCTAATTGACGACACGTGTTTGGGATGGAGACAATGAGTCATTGTAATTTCTTTTCCTTTAGGGTTACTTTTGGGCTCATGCTGGGCTTTAATTAATTCTTGAGAGATCATAGTTGTTAGTTGTAGGGCTTTTGTTTATATTAGCTCATGTTGTTGTTGGTTCAGTTTAATGAACTCAGACTTTTGTGAAAAAAAAAAAATTTCAATTTCAGTAGAATTTAGATGTTTGTGTAAACATATTTTGAATTTATATTTAAATCTTAATAATTTAAAATATGAATTTTGATATTTTGATATTTAAATATGATATTTTGAATTATTTAGAACTATATTACTGAATTTTACATATATATATATATTTATTTATATACGCTTCCAACGCGTACCCGCTTCTTATTTTTTTAGAAAAATCCGATTCCACGCTTCCAAACGCTTCCGCTTCCGCGCACCCGCTTCCGATTCCATGCAGCTTAGTATATATCCCCCCTCTACGTGGGATGAGAAAGTGGTGTTAGGTGAGACAAGACATCAAAGAGTGTTCTAGAGAAAGAGAGAGAGAACAAGAGCTTCTCAAGCAAGCTTTCTTCTTCATCTTTGTTGTCTTTGATTCCTTGTATCTTCTTGTTGTAAACCTGAAAAACCAAGACTATCACAAGTTAGTGGTGTGTGTGTGTGTAACCTCTTTGAGATAGTGAAGCTTGGAAGCAAGAGTCCTTCCCCGAGACGTAGCGGTTAGCCGTGAACTCGGTTATCAAATTCTTGTGTTTGTTTCTTTTACAAGCAACTATTATTCTTAGTTTACTCTACAAGTGGTATCAAAGCAATCCAGGTTTGATTGCAAGGAAGACAGTTAGCTATGGAACCTACAAATGCAAGATTTGAGATTGAGAAGTTTGATGGCAAAGGCGACTTTGGGTTGTGGAAGCATAAGATGATGTGTCAGTTGGAGATTCTAGGCTTAGAATCAGCCTTGGTTGAAGATGCTACACCATCAGAATCTGGGAGTCAAGAGGAAGGAGGTGAACCTAGGGTAGATCCTAAGAAAGCAGAGAAAGATAAAAGAGCTAAAAATCTGATCAGCATGAGTTTAAGCAATCTGATTCTAAGGAAGGTTATGAAGGAGACTACTGCACTTGGGATTTGGAAGGCACTGGAAAGAGACTACCAGACAAAGACCTTACCCAACATGATCTACTTGAAACACAAGTTCACAAGCTTCAAGATGGTGGAAGACAAAAGCATTGAGGAAAATCTAGATATTTTTCTCAAGCTAGTTGCAGATCTAGCAAGTATAGACATCAACATTAGTGATGAAGACCAGGCTCTACAAATTATGGCTGGGTTACCACCACAGTATGATTCACTAGTCGATACACTCAAGTATGGGAGTGGAAAGGATACCCTGACACTAAACGCAGTCATAAGCGCAGCATACTCAAAGGAAATTGAGTTGAAAGAAAAGGGATTGCTGAACGTGTCAAAGCCCGACTCGGAAGGACTATTGGTTGAATCTAGAGGCAGATCAAACAATAAGGGAAATAAAAGACCATGGACAGGAAATTCTAATGGAAATGGCAGATTTCAGTCAAGGCCAAGTAACAGCACAAGTTGTTTTATTTGTGGGAAGGAAGGTCACTGGAAGAGGGAATGCCCTGAAAGAAAGAAACCAGCGGAATCGGCTAACATCGCAGCTGAGCCTGCACAACCTTTAGTGTTAACTGTTAGCACTCAAAGCACATGCCAGGAATGGGTTATGGACTCTGGTTGTACATTCCATAGTACATCCAATAAAGAAGTCTTGTTTGACTTCAAGAAATTCAATGGTGGTAGAGTGCTAATGGCTAACAACACTCATGGAGAAATCAAAGGAAATGGGAAAATCAAAATTCAGAATCGAGATGGTTCTGTAGTGATACTTAAGGATGTAAAATACATCCCGGATGTGGGAAGGAATCTGATTTCTTATGGGATGCTAGAAAAATCAGGTTGCAAGTACGAGGGATGTGATTTCATGGTTCACTTCTACAAGGATAAGAAGAAGTTGATATCAGGAAAGTATCACCAAGGGCTCTATTATCTTCAAGGTACAGTTGCTAAGAGTGAAGTGAATGTGTCACAAGCTGAAACCCTTGTTTGAAAAATCGCTAGGCGCTAGTCGGGCGTTCGGCATGGGCCTAGCGATTAATCGGAAAATCGGATTAAAATCGGGGATTAATCGAGGATTAGTTTTAGGGTTATTTTTATATTTTTAAAATATATTAATTCAATATTGTTTTCAAAATTACAGTAAAAACATATTTTTATGATTTTTATTAAAATTTGAACACAAGTTATGTAAAACATCACAAACTCCCAATTCAAATGATTGAATAACAAAAATAAAATGTTTTTTTTATACTTGTAATCTAAAAAATAATCGGGGTATGTAAGATTAGGCGGGAAATAATCGGATTAGGCGGAAAATAATCGGATTAGACGGAGAATAATCGGGTTACTGATTTTTTAGGGGATTAGTCATTAATCGAGGCGGAGAGGGTGGGCCTAGCGATTAAGCGGGGAGTAATCGGGGCTAGGCGGGGATTTTTAGAACAGGGGCTGAAACTAATGAAGAGGGTATTGCTAAGGCAAAAGAAATCAAGAAAGAGGAAGTCTAAGAAGGTGACATCTAATGAGAATCTAATTCAAGGTTCCACTTCCTATGATTTTGAGAGAAAGAGTTCATCAAGTCAAGATAGAGATTCATCTCCATCAAAAGAAACAAAAAGTTCAGAAGAAGTTAAATGTGAAGATTCTAATTCTGTGACCTGTGCTTTAGTTGCCACAGAAATTGAAACGATGAAAAGCACGAAAGGGAAGCATTGGAAGAGTGTTACAGCTGAAGACATAGATTCTCAAAGGAAAAAGGAGAAGGTGGTTGGGAGTAAGTGGTTTTCTAAATTGAAACCAGGTTTACTAGAAGTTGTTGAAAAGCAAACGTATAATGCTAGGGTGGTAGTTAAGGGCTTTTCAAAACTGGACAGTGAGTTAGAGCAGATAGACTCTATCAGAAGCATTGTTTCTAAGGCAGATGCAAGTGTATCTAAGGCTCACTTAAGAAAAGGACCAAAAATTCTCCAAAGGGAAGTAGTACCTGGTATGAAGTTCCAGCATTGCTGTGAGCTTCTTAACATCCACTGAAGTGGAGCAGCGGCTCTAGGTAACTCCAATAGTCTCGCAAAACAGGATAACCAAATTGAGTTAGTTTTGTGAGAAGTACTCAAGTGTCAGAATTGAGTGAGGTATTTTAGTTGGAGTTGGAGTTACCTGTAGGATACTGGAACTGTGTAGGAGTCACTAGTTCCAGGTGGAGTGTTTGGTGGAAAAAAGGATCCAAGGAAGTGGATTAAGCATTTGAAAAAGGATATCAGTTTCAGGTGGAGTCATTGTTGAAACAATGAATGAGAATTTTGGAAATTTTCAGAAAAAAGCTCAAAGGACATGTTACCATAAGTTGTTGTCTTCAAGCAGCCAAATATGGTCGTTGGTTGTGGTGATTCAACTGTTAACAGGGTAGATCGGGTTAGATCTTTCGGTTAAAATCTGAATCACAAAATTTTTGACTAAGGCAAGAGAAACTAGTGGAGAAGAGCTTACCGGACGTCGAAAGTGATTGAGCAGGGTCTCACCGGAGAAGAAGTAAAGTTTTCGGTGAAACGGTGGCACATGTCGGAGAAACGGAGCCAGTCACTTGAAATGGTTTCAAAAGGGGACACTTTAAGTTTCTCAAATTCTGGAATTTTTCAAGGATTCTAAGTCTCTAAGTGACACAAGAAGAGACAAGAGAGTGATTAGAGGGTACCTGAGATGAACGGTGACGGCGGTGGTCCGATTCACCGGAAGAGACGAAGAAGAAGCTTTAGATTCATTGGAGAAGAAGCTTCAGATTCGTTGGCAGTGACGAAGGTGATGTCTTTGATTCGCCAAAAGTAAGAGCCGTCGAGAAGTAAGTGGAGGATTGTGGTTGATTTCGCCGGAGGTGGCCGTCGGAGAACGTACGGCTGAGGTCGGAATCTAAAATTGATTTCGATTTTCACCATCTTCTCTCCATCACGGGAACAAGAGGAAGCTCGGAGGAGATTGGTGGAGATGATGATCGGAGATGAAGGAGGAGAGTCACCGGAGTAGATCGCCGGAGGAGGTGGCGATCCGGAGGTGGTGTTTAGCTTCACAGACAGAGAAGAGGTGAGGTTGGGTTTCTCAGGTTGATGTCGTCGAAGTGTGTCTTTTGTCAAAAGGTGGAGTTTGTTGTTGGGTTGGACAAAAACACACTAAAAATGACATAAAAAAAGAAGAACAAGTGACATTGGCCCATCACATTGAGTTATATATATCCCCCCTCTACGTGGGATGAGAAAGTGGTGTTAGGTGAGACAAGACATCAAAGAGTGTTCTAGAGAAAGAGAGAGAGAACAAGAGCTTCTCAAGCAAGCTTTCTTCTTCATCTTTGTTGTCTTTGATTCCTTGTATCTTCTTGTTGTAAACCTGAAAAACCAAGACTATCACAAGTTAGTGGTGTGTGTGTGTAACCTCTTTGAGATAGTGAAGCTTGGAAGCAAGAGTCCTTCCCCGAGACGTAGCGGTTAGCCGTGAACTCGGTTATCAAATTCTTGTGTTTGTTTCTTTTACAAGCAACTATTATTCTCAGTTTACTCTACAGTAATAAATACCGTAAGCACCCTACGTTCCTTCGATAACATGTAGGATCAATCTCCTCTTCTTCTTGTGCTTTAGAAACTTTCAATCCGAACACCATGGGTACTTGAGTTGGATTGCAAGTTTCTAAACCAGCTTCTCTTAAGATCCTTCATGCATAACCTTCTTGTTTCATTTCGATCCCATCTTCAACTTGATACAGTTCAATACCGAAGATAATAAGTGAGCCTTCCGAGATCGACATCTCAAACTTTGATGACATCCTAGCCTTGAATTCACTTATAACTTCGAGTGTATTGCCAGTCATGAACAAGTCATCTAACTTCACCCCATTTCATGTGAAACATTCTCGGATCCCTGCTTGGTCCGTCTCTAGTTTCATTCTAGCTCCAACTTTTGTTCTCATCAAAAACCATGTCACGACTTACGACAATCTTCCATGTCGTTTGGTTATAAAGTGTATAGGCTTTGGATCCTGGCTCAAATTCAAGGTGAACTAGTGATGACTTTGATATGTCGTCCAGCTTCTTGAAGTTTGTGGCTTCAACCTTCGAGTGTACTAAACAACCGGAAACTTCTAAATGTGCAAGATTCGGTTTATTCTCTCGCAAGCATTCGTAAAAGGGTCAAGTTTTCAAGGGCTCTTGTTGGTATCCTATGATGATATATTTATGATGATGATTTCTATTCCTCGAACATGATTATTTCTTCCCTAGTCGGGTTAGTTGAGGCATTGATGAAGTCTAAGAAAACAAAGAACGGGATATTGATTATCCGTCCTCCATCGAGGTTTTGATTATCGATCATGCAGCGTATTGTCTATTCAGAATTGGTTGCCTGTTGTTACAGTCGTAAAACAATTAAATAGATTGCCATCAAAACAACATGGTGCCAATGCATGCGAATCCGGCCATGGTATGTATTTCTAGCTTTTAACTTCAAGTTTTTCTCTCTAATACGATGTATGTGTCCCACTTCCCAACTATGCAAATTTTCTCAGTAAAATCCGTCTTTTGTTTAGGTATCTGGATGGACATGCACGGTTCTATCGTCAGTCAAAAATTTTAAGTTCTTATTTAACCGTAAGTGTGGTTTTTACTCATTGCCTTTATGTTTTCATTTATGGCGAAATGCCATTTCGTGTTCGTTTTTGCTGTATTTCCATAACCCTTGATTATGGCTAAGTTTCCAAACTCGGTACTAACCCGGAAAATATTTCATTTCAAAGATGAATTCTCTATTCAATCACAATTGCTTGAACTATAAAGAAAAGGTGGGCATGGGCATCTGTTTTTTCTTTTTGAACTATATATGACACGCATTGCTAGTATATTTTCGCTTCTAGTGTTATGACGGTATTAGATGATTGATGGGGATGGCTAGGCCAGAGACTATACCATTGTGATTTAACTTGTTAGTTGAATCAATGCAGATGAAGTGTTAGTTTGAAAACAAAGGTGTTCTTCAGGATGTGTTGTCAGGCATATATAATCTCATCTTGCGTAAAACGTAAAAGTTCTAAACATCTTATCTCTTTTGTCTTTGTTTCATATTTATCAATTCTTACTTCGAGTACTTCACGTTTCAATTAAAAGTTTTTGATGTCGCAGAATGCCTCCTTTTGTATTCTTGACGAGTGAGACCATTTTATCCCTCTTTGAAGTTATCGTTTCATTGTGTTATATAGATTTGTTTCATCGGATGGTAGTTAATAATGACTCTCGTTTTTTCAGATATACAAGTAAAGAGACGAAATCCAAAGCACGAGTGCACGACAATGTTTTTTTGAAGGGGCCGAAAAGATCATGCTTTACAGTGAGAGAACATACTTCTTTTGGCGATACAAAGTTTTTTTTTATTTTATTTCTTTGTTTAGATTCTATGATTCAATTAATATTCTCATCAATGTCGGCATCTGGGATTTCAGGCCCGTGGCATAAAGAACTTGATTTTCTATTCTCTTCCAGAGCAGAAGGAATTTTACCCACAGATAATGAACATGCTTGAAGAATCACATGACATGATTGCCACTATGTTTTTTTTTTTCGTTTTGACCAGCTCCAGGTAATTACACAATTCTCATTATTAATCTTATGATGCTTTTTACACAATGAGAGCCATACCTATTCATTTTTTCTGTCCTCCATTAATTCAATTACTACTAGTTCCTCAGCTTAGAGACCAATCATTGAGAAATATTTGTTGAAGTCTGGTTCTTTACTCCTTTTCCTACGTTAAGCTCTAGTTGGTTTTGATTGCAGTTGTGACATTTTAATTATTGTTATATATATATATATATATATATATCCTGAATAAGAGTTAACTCTCTTTCTCTCAGTAGCACCAATCCGATAAGTGAGTTTCTGATGCAATATATGGATCCAATGTTAATAGAGATTATATCTCTCCGGTTTAATGTTGAATGTAGTTCGGTTATTTTTGGTTATATATCTTGTATAGTTGGTTATCTCTCTTAGTATTTAAGCTTGCTTTGTATCACCATTTACGCTTAATGAAGGTTTCACGATTATTGATAAATGTGATGGTTATTTGCAGCTGGCAAGGATCGTTGTGGATGATTTAGCAAAGAAAATGATCAGTTTTGAGAAGAGCACTTTTACTTTCCGAGAAGGAGTGGAGTGATCAAGATGATTTATTGGTGTAACGAAAAATGTTGCTATCTATTTTGCTGATCTTAAAACTTAATCCCCTATTTTTGTTATACCATTTTCTATGGTCAGATATACATTAACCGGTTTAAATTAAGAAAAACGATTTAACTGTTGTATCTTTACCCATGTAGACGTAGGTCTGTCAAACATCTTCTTTCGTTTTTCCATAACTCTGTTATTACTCTGTCAATAAATTCTGCAAAAGATCATCTATAACTCTTCCAAGTGATCTGACCAAGTTATTCAATGGTAGGAAATGCCAGCAATGCGAAACTTAAATTTTTGTAACATGTTTCCTCTTCTTCTTTAGAGGTCTAGGTTTGATTTTCATGTTAAGAGATCGATTTAGTGTATAATGGGTTTAACTTACTCAGTGTTACTTAACACATATATTTATGTGTAATATCAAATGTTGGAAGTTGCTAAACATATTGACCTCATTTACTTTGCCAGAAAGTTAATAGTCTACATGTTTTCACTATAAACCCTCATCATCATGCATGTTCCTGACCAATTATGTATTTTTGTTTTCAACAGATTTTAAATATGTGTAAATTGTGAATTCTGTCAACTAAATAATATTTCAGTCAAAAAAGTAAAAATTATTAAATATTAAATTAAGTCGAAAAATAAATATGAGCATATTAATTATTAATGTAATTTTTTTTGCCTAAATGGCAAATTGTCCCGACATGAATTAGGCTAATTATTTTTTCTTGAAACATTAAATTTATTTTAGTTGAAAACCTGCTAGTATACCTTCTCATAGAGTGAAACGGTTTTAGGTTTAAGACATGTGAGTTTGAACACACAAGACGTTGACTTGTGAGTAGAAGGAACATGTGAACTTATATGGACCATGTGACCTTGAACTACAATCATTGGAAATTTGGAATGTTAAACTACTATCTTCTCTTATTTGGCATCTAAACTTTGTTTTTATTACTCTCTAAACAAAAACGAGTAAACATAAGATTTCTGCACAAAAATGTATGCATTTTGTTTTACGTACAATCATCTAATTCGAAACACATGGGGTGATTTTTATACCATTTAAAGACAACAAATTAACCAACCAACCACACGTGAATATCGCCAAATTAAAAGAGATATAAACTTAGAGAGGATAATGAACCATTAGGTTTCCCCAAGTACTAAAACTACGAGGGACCTCTACGGTGCCAAAGAAAGGTTTCGGAGTTATGAGTGGTCACCTCTCCTAGTCTCCTACCTCTTTGAAAGACATGTATATCGCTTTAACTCGAGTCTTAGAAAGCCCGGTTCTCGTGTCTTTGCTTAATAATTACTTCATGTATGTAGCGGCAGGCAACCTATGCAAATAGACAAATTCATATTTTCCGTCGTGACCATAGCTATTCAATACTTCAAATTTAGCAAAAGACAGACAAATATTAAAGACACAATGCTAAGAAAGAAAACAAAGGGGATTTTTTATTAACAATTTTTGCAGATGATCATACAAAATTAGAAATGTGTTAAATAATATATAACTTCTTGAGCAGGAAAAAAAAAACTAGTAGAAACTTGAATATCCAATAATCGTTGTGGTTTTGATATCTAACCATTTTTATGTATACATATATATATGCACTGTATGATTACACTGTCAAACTAAAAGTTATAAAAATACAATAATAGAAAATGTGAGAAATGTTTTTCAAAAATTGTGAACAATAAAAAAAGTGAGAAATGAATATTCTTTGGTTTTCAACTACTTTAACATCTAAATTTAACATGGGAAATGAAATGAAAATATGAGTCCGAAATAAAAGAGAAAATAATAAGTAGTTCAGAATTTGTTTTGAGAACAAAATTTGTAAAAAGAGTAAAAGACTAGAGAACAGATATAGTCAATTGATCATCTACACATGATGTTGTTAGAAGAAAAGAAAAAAAAGAAAAAAGAAAAAAAAAACCAAAAAATCCAAAAAGGAATTTCTCTTCACATTATGTGTATGGCCATAAATAAGACTTATCTATCTCTCGGGAGGAAAACAAACTGCTCGTGTTGGTGCTTTTGTAATTCGTCTTTTCTTTTGTATTATCTTTAAGAAATGTCATTTTCCTTATGCACCTTCACAAAATTCCGGTGCACTAAAAGTTAATATACCAAATTGCAAATAATTCAGCTCCAGTTTACCCTTGTTTTATTTAGTTTGGTTTGGGTACGTTTTGATCTTTTTCATCAGACGTATGTAGATTTTTACTTTTGCCGTTTCATTATAGATAAGTAAAATTTTATCGTCCTCGAATAGATGGTTTGTTATTGAAACTTTTCCTAACACACTTCAACTAATTGTAATTTTAAAATTTACACACCCTTTGTTGGGTTTTATTTGTCTAAATTTATAATTTTAATTTTCCAAAAATGATATGACAAGCCCATGTACGTATTTTCTGAATGGTTTTTTTTTTTTTTTTTTTTTTACCATATTCCATTGTTCTCTTTTTTTAGTTAGTTCCATTCTCTCGTTTTTTTTTTCTGACCTCTTCTAACATTTATTTCACTCTATACATAGCTGCCATATACTTCAATTTGTTTCCAAACCTACACTCTCCTCTCTCCCTCCCCTCCTCTCTCACAAAAATGAACAACACCATTGTAAAAATGCAAAACAAAAGCCATAGCCACCATCATCCATCATCCCGGAGTATCCACGAGCGGAACTCGCATGGCCTAATTTCGATAAATGCCATGATCATCATCGGAATCTCCATCATCTCCATCTTCATAATCTTTGCAATTCTCTTAATAATCCTTTTACTTCATCGACTTAAATCCGCAAGAGACAAAGCACAAGAATTATCTTGCAAAGAAAGCTTCAACAACATGAACAATGGTGGAACTTCCACCAACTACAGCTACACCTCTAGCCCTGGTATGACAATTAAAACCAATCAGCAATGAGTGGAGATTCTCATACCTTTATACTAGTATCGAATCACTTGCACATCCAACGCCCAATTTCTTATTTGAACTCTAATTTACTTGTTAGATGACATCAAGAGAGATTGTCTATACTCAAGAAACCCAACATCGTTCAGACAACTGCCTCAACAAACAAAAAGTTGTAGAAGAAGCCGAGCAGAAGGAGTAGAAGTGTACACATACAAGGAATTAGAGATTGCAACTAATAATTTCAGCGAGGGCAAGAAAATCGGAAGCGGTGGATATGGAGATGTGTACAAAGGAGTACTAAGGGATGGAACTGTTGCGGCCATTAAAAAGCTTCATATGCTTAATGATAATGCTAGTAACCAAAAGCATGAAGAACGGTCCTTTAGGCTTGAGGTTAGTCGTGCCCACTTCATTTATTGTCCATTTTTTTTTCTTATCTACTCTTGTTGTGCTTATTTATTGTTTCCATGTTATTAACACATGAATATAATATACTAGTCTTATAAAGAATAACTATATTAAAATTTTGAATAAAGTACCGTTGCATTGTAAATTTTGAAACTTTGAAACGTATTATAGTTACTCCATGTAGGTGACTCACGAGACACCGGTTCACGCATACCTCTCCTCTACAGTTATAAATATTATCACTTATGATATTTTAGTAAAAAGTTTTTTACACAAAACCTCCTTCAAATGATTTTTTTTTCAAGTTTATGTTCAGTTTGCAAAAAAATATGTAGGTTTAGTCTACAATATAATTAGCCACCACCATGGTTTTAGTTTATTAAGTTATGATAAATTGAGTCACTGTGACGAAAAGTACATGTGTACTCTTAAAATTTAGAAACTCTAATGTGGACGTAAATTTGTCTTGAAGATACATATGAATATTATATATGGGTTAGTTAAATATCTATGCGCAGACGATCCAAAAATTAAGTATCTATACATAAAGATCACATAATTAAACCTCTCTCTTCCCTGATAGCATTTAAGGCGAAAACACCCCTACAAAACAGAAAACTTGTTAACTGCGTATAACATAGGTACGACAGCATTAAATGCTAACGATATCTTTGAAAATATATCTCTGCCGACATTGGTAATATAAAGATACGGTAAAACATAGCCCTAAAACAAAATCATCAAACACCAAACATCAAACGAAATTTGTAAATAATCATCAAACACCGAACAACAAGTTTCGATTGATAACACTGTTAGTCGATAATACGACTAGCTGCTAACTAAAATAAGACATATATTAACTTAAAACAGCTTTTAAAAACATTCATACAAACAACATTCACGTTTTGCTAACAGTAGTACCCCAATAAGACGTTAGTGGCTAACTATGACCATGTTATTACCTCAAAAATTATAACTATTCATCAAACCCAAGACAACAATGTCTCCATGTATTGATAACAATGTTAGGCGATAATTCGGCTATCTATTAACTATAATGAGACAAATTTTTACTTGCGACTTTTAAAACATTAATCAAAACAACATTTCTGTTTTGATAACAATAGTATCCCGATAATACGTTATCTGATAATTACGATAATGTTTTCACCTTGAAATTTGAAAATAATCATCCAACACCAAACAACAAGTTTCGATTGATAACATTGTTAGTCGATAATACGACTAGCTGCTAACTAAAATAAGACAGATATTAAATAATCAGGCTGGTTTGTTCAGAAACTCCAACAGGCGACCGAGAGAAGACCGAGATATGTACTGCCGTTCATCATCGTCGAGGACATTGATGATACCACACACCGTTTTCATCTTCTAATAAACATTAACCCTCTCGCCGCGAGGTTCTTCACCAAAAGCTATCAGACGCGGAGAAAACAGAATCGGCCTCATCTGTTAAGGAAAAAATTGCATAAACCCTAGTTAGATAACGCAAAACATGTCGTTGAAACACAAATCAAACGAAAAAAATGGCAAATTGATTACCAGAAGACAAATCGAGATCAATAAAAACCCAGATCTGAGAAATAAACACTTGCTCGAGAATCAGAAGGAGATAAAGAAAATAAGAGAGAGAAAATTTTGTGGTGTCGTTTCCTTTTTTCTACAGTCCCAAAACGCCGACTCTGTCTCTTCATATAGAAAGCAAAGAACACGACTGTTCGTTTCTCGCAAAAAAAAAAAATATAAACACAACTCCCAAAACAATATCTACACAATATCTCCTCCTGCCGTCTGACATAATTTCAACCTATAATCTACGAAGTTTCTAATATCATAATATAGGGGTACATGCGTCTTTAAAAAGTGAACAGAAGCGAGAGAACAGTGCAACTTTACGAGACTCAATTATGCATTCGTCTATGCATATCCATTGATATTTCTCATTATATTATAGATTAAATTCTACTTCTTAGATTTGAACTAATTATAGTTTTTATAAGTTGATAATAAAATTCATTTGGAGGATTTTTTTTGTAAAAATAAAAATTATTATACGATGGAGTAGTTTGTGTTTTGAAGAATATATATCTTAAAATGTTAGCTCAAAATACAGTTATCCTTTCTTGGATTTCTACAATGCATATCTTGACAATAGAAAAAAAAATTGAAGATTCCTCTAATTGACATGCCCCTTTCAGAATGTGCTGGGATTTTTTTTTGTTTTTTTTGGCATCCATGTGCTGGGATTTATAAAAATCTAATCATCTATACTATTAATTGGGAATCACTAGATATAAAATAACCTTATGAAGAGTAAAATATTACATAAGATGCCATTAGCTTTTAGTGTTTTAAAATAAATTCATTAATGGTATAATATTAATCAAAAAATTATATATTTAAATAAATTATAGTAAAATTCTTTTAAATAATTATTAGTTTCCAAAAATTAAACTAACTTTCTCTCTCTTAATAATTATGGACGAAAATTTAAAATTATTTTCTAAAAAATTGTTAACCAATGAGAATTGAAAAACTAAAATTTTATATCCAACTAAGATTTTATCTAAAAATATAACATTTTAATTCAAAATCAAAAACATGATCGTTTGAAAAAATTTTATCAATGGAGGATTTTAAGATTGAATTTGAAAATTTATTAAAAAATTAAATAAAAATATTTTAAGATTTAGTTTTGTTATAATATTTTCACAAATTTTGAACTATAAAATGAAATTTTATTTCACAATTCTAAAAGACGATATTAGATATTAACAAATATTTATATTTACTATGAACTAAACTCAAATAATAATAAATTTAAAGTAATTATCATTATGGTCTTCGTTTAGAACAAGTTTCGGAAATATCTAAACAATACATTGTACATATTAATTTTGAAATATTTTGTGTTTTATTTTTTTCCTTCTCAACCGGATCTTCTCAACCGGATTTACCTTCTTCACACAGTTTTCGAAATAATGTAAACTAATTATGTATTTGCATTCAAAACAAATTATGCAACAATAGCAGATCCTTTTCACAGATGTATCTCAAATTTTTATTTTGTCCAAAAATTAAATTAATTATGATTAAACAATGAAAAGAAGAATATGCAAAATTTAGCTAAGGAAAGAAACATTAATAAATTTTTTAAAATATATTTGTAACTTTAACAACATACATATTAATCCGCAAAACTCACAATATATATTGTATGGTATTTAAAGGTAAGCAAACAAGAATTTAGAACATGATTTTAATAGAATGAAATGAGAATAGGAATTACGAGACGGGATAGGAGGGAAACATAATAAAAATCAAACTAAATACCCAACTGGTATGAGTTCGAGTTATGAGCACTATATAAAATAAATTTGTTTGCCGTACAAAAAAAAAATTGTTTACACACATAACATATACATATTCTATTTATGATGGATACGGGACCGTAATATTTTATTTTACGTATACGAGACGGGTTATGGGACGAAGAATTTATGACAAATAATACAGGATGGGGTAGATTTCCCGTTCCAAAATAGTTACGTCTAGCTAATATACATGAAATAACCGAAACTAAAACCGAATTCATATCCTATTTCACACCTGTAATCAAACTGTTAGAAATATTTTGATTAGTTTAGAAAATAAAAACGTAACATCACTTAACTTTTGCAACTAACTTATATCTTAATTTTATCCTAAATATAATTTCGCACGTACGTGTAGGTCCGGATCTTAAAATAGAATTATGCACTAACGCAATTGAATTTCGTTCATTACTCTAACTTTATAATATCTATTTACGAAGTTCACCAACACAACAAAATATTTTATATTTTTAAAATCTATATAACAATTTCTATAAAAATATTCATGCACGTACGTGTGGATCGAGATCTAATATATCATAAAAACAACAAAATAATCTATATTAAATTAAAAATTTTTAGAATTTTTATTAAAATATGAAACCCCGCACGTATGTGCGGTCATGATCTAGTTGGATATATATTTTGGTCCGTGCTTCGATATATTTAGTAGAGAAAAAGAAAGTACCAAAACATTCAATATATTTTGTCCAATAGTCAATACGTAATCAAGTGGATTTGTTTCTTAATTAGTAGTAACTATTAATTAAATGTCAACCCATTAATATTATGTATTTTCACAACATCATTAATCATTATCATCATTTGTTGCAATACCATTAAGTTTATAATTACATAAGCTAATATAATCATTAATGCGCAGGTTGATCTTCTTAGTCGATTACAATGCCCATATTTGGTGGAATTACTTGGATATTGTGCAGATCAAACCCATAGGATTCTGATATTTGAATATATGCCTAATGGTACACTGGAACATCATCTTCATGATCATAGTTGTAAGAATCTAAAGGATCAATCTCAACCATTAGATTGGGGAACCCGGCTTAGGATTGCCCTTGATTGCGCCCGAGCTCTAGAGTTTCTACACGAAAATACAGTCTCTACTGTGATCCACCGGAACTTCAAGTGTACCAACATTTTGTTGGATCAAAATAATCGAGCTAAAGTTTCAGATTTCGGATTGGCGAAAACTGGATCCGATAAACTAAACGGGGAGATTTCAACAAGGGTGCTCGGTACCACAGGATATCTTGCTCCAGAGTAAGTAACAATTCACATTGTTGTCACATTTTGATCCATTAGGTGTATGGGGTTAGAAATAAAATTGGTAACCAATATAACATCATGCTATATGTCACCAACAAATATGGAATATGATCGTGGTTGATTTCTATCCATAGTGTGTCACTTGTGAATCAAAAAGATCGATTATGGTCACTCAATTTCTCTTAAGAGCCATAACATAACCATATAAGATTTTTGTCTTGAGATAGGTACGCCTCTACGGGAAAGCTTACTACAAAATCAGATGTTTATAGTTATGGTATTGTGTTACTACAACTCTTAACGGGTCGTACACCGATCGATTCAAGGCGTCCGCGGGGACAAGATGTCCTTGTCTCTTGGGTAGGTATACCGTAATTTATTTTCAATAGCATATTATAAATTTGAACTACTCAATATTGTCTCATGGATATCCACACGAGACCATGTGTAGACTTGTCTACACTTGCTTAGAACTATCTATATAGCTTGTAATTAATTGTAAAAATGTGATATATATTTTCAGGCTCTTCCGAGGCTAACCAACAGAGAGAAAATTAGTGAAATGGTTGATCCAACCATGAAAGGTCAATACTCACAAAAAGATCTTATTCAGGTTTGGTTTCTCCACTTTCTCTCTTGAGTTCCTTTAGTACATTTCTGTATGACAAAACTTGTAGCTGGTTAATTGGTTTTTGACAAAATGAGTCATCTTTCAAAGCTTAAATTTGTATTCAAATTCCAATCTAGTAGGCCTTTTTAATAACATGGTGATTGAAACTCAGATTTTTAATAACATGCAAATTACTTATTCTCTTGCTAGTTAAAGCGTTTAATGTGGTTACCTTGAAAGCGTAGTGAATGTGACTTCTCACCCGCTAGACTAAAAGTTGATTGATTCAACACAATATTTATAAAAATAAAACCATTGAACTACTAATGTTTGGGTGACAGTAAAAACGCTATCGAAAATAAATTTGTATATCTATATCTTTGTGGACAAGAGTTGTGATACAAATTTTATGAAACAGGTAGCAGCCATAGCAGCAGTGTGTGTGCAACCAGAAGCAAGTTACAGACCGTTGATGACGGATGTTGTTCACTCGCTCATTCCCCTTGTTAAAGCTTTCAACAAAAGTACTGAATCTTCTCGGTTTCCTAGCCGTAGAGAAAGCTTATCATTTGATGATATTATGCCATGACACTCTTTTGTTTAATGTGTGTAATTTAATTTCTCTCTTATAAGTTGCGCTCTCGTTGTTATTGTATATTTGTATAGATAAATGAATCCATTTATCTTTGTTAAATTAATATATATTAGTGTTGCGTTAGGCCCGGCTTAGAGGCAGTGCTGACAGTGCTAGAGCACTGGGTCTACATTTTTTTGTCACTTTTTGTGAAGCTTTAAGATCCTAAATTTTTGATATTCTTGCAAATAAAGGTCCTAAATTTTAAATCTTTGCAAATAAGACCTTAAGTTTTCAGAAAACAAAATAATTGGGCACAAGGTCCAAAAAAAAATTGAGCCGGCCCTTGTGTAGTTGCCGAGAAGTCACTCATTCTAAGTCCATTCTAAGACCAGCAAGTTTTTTCTTTGATAATCTTTCGCAATACATGATCACCTACACTTAGAAATATGGTAGATATATTTAGCTTTCCTTTCCTTTTGAGATATAGCATGATCGATTCGTACCCAAAGATTCACAAGACTTCTTTAACCCCTTTTAATGATTCTTCAGCCTTTAATACTTCTTTTGGGACCTCTTGTTCTTCATCCTTCAATGCATCGAGAAGTCCATGAATTTTTAGATGCGCGGTGATCTTTTTTCTCTAGTGTGTAATCGCCTTGATAAGCAAACTTCCTCGTGTTGATTTTTTTTCTTACAAAGACATGACTCAACAATCTAGGAATTTACTCCAATAAACCAAGAGCTAGGATACCAATTTATAAGGATTGAAAACTTGATTAACCTTACCCTACGAATTACACACATGAAGATCTCGTGAACTGAATCGCGGATTGTGTATCAAAAGCAAGAAAGACAACACAGAGATATATATGAGTTCATTTCTCTCTGGAAGTTCTTCCAGAATCCATTGGATTGTTCGTCACTTAGTCTCGAACTTCTTTATCTAAAAAAATATTTCTCTCTCATTATCGATTACAAGTCTCACATCCCTCTCTGTCGAGTGTTGCAACGATCATAAAGAAGAAGAACAAGAAACATAGTTGTTATAATTACTTAGCAAGAGGTAGAGCTGATATCCTCTACTTGGCCTAAATCTTCCCCTTCCTCTAAATGACTTACTATTTCTCCCCTACACTTGTACTTTTCTCTTATCAAGACTTAATGCCTTTGCCTAACACTATAGTCTATAATACATTCTTTTGACTTAAGAACCTTTACTTCTAAGATAACATTTTAAAGCGATAACATATTTGAAATAAAGCAAGATTCCTACCTACAGATTCACAAGAAAAGAGACAAGTCAAAAGAAGTAAAGTTTCATTCGTTGTGCCTTTGCCTAGCTAACACTATATATATAAAATCAATCTAAAGATAAGTGCGTGGTTATATGAAACTTTTATGTTCAAACTACCATTAGTAACTTGCTACTATTAAACATTTATCCATTGTATAGCTAAAAATACATATTCACTTACTAACC